ACTTAGTCATTAAAATCATCTGTTTTCTTAGTGGTTATCTTCAAGAATTTCTCGGGAAAAAATTTGCAAAAGTTTGATTCTTTATGAGTAAAAATCACTTTTTAATGTTTGTTTCCAATGGAGTTTGGTAAACCAAATCACTTTGGTAAAGGATTTTCCCCACTGGTTATTGGTTAAACCGTAAATAAAGATTTAAACCGAAGTTTTAGCTGTTAGTTATACCATTAACCCTAACTGAACCGGGTCTAAATGTTCCTTAAGATGAGAATTTTGCTTCTTTATCAGCATCTTTCTCAAGTTGTACACTACCTGTTCGATGAAATTCCTCAAAGAGGGGAAGAACTTGAAGCAAAGACTATGCTTATACGAGGTTACTTCTATTAGCTCTTCCTCCAAGGGCACAAAAAATGGTGATTTGGTCGCCTTCGCTTGTAAGAAGATTTGGTAAGTGAAGTTAGACCTGATTTTCAAGTCACAAAGAAATAGAGATGGTAAAGAAGCTGTATTTTGATGTTCAGAGGTTGTTTTTGGTGAGTTCTGTTAAACCCAACTTCAGATATTTCTATGTTGTAATTTCAAAGAGGCTTAAACTTCAAGATTTTCAGTGATTTGGTTGAAATTCAATTGCTTGTTACTAGAAACTTGGATGTAGTAGTTGATCAAGATTAAATGTTGTTTAATGGAGAAGACAATATTATGCTCTAGGCTTGGGTATTGTATACAAATATGGGTCTAAAACTGCTTTAGAATTTGAGAAAGGTGAACCTATTGGAGCTCTTAAACACATGTTGAAATGTTACTATGGTTCGAAATGGAGTTGAAATTTCCTTCTTTCATGGTTACTATTGGGTTTGATAGCATGAGGCCAGTACTTGTTTTGGTTGATATATGGATATTCAAAATGTGGTTTTGTTCGTTGCATCTTCGATCGAGGGTACGTAGAGAAGAATTCGAGGTTGCGATTCTTGTCAAAAGAAAACTTATATAAGCCAGTAGTATTTGTGTACTGCTTAATTAACCTTTTGTCAGGTGGAAGCTCAATCTTAGGATCTTGTTGCAAGTGTTGGTCTTTGTAATGAACCAGGTAAACCGAAAGATCAGATCAACACAGCAAAAGTGAATAAAGAAAAAAAATCACTTTTGGGTTTTGAATCTTTCTTTGCATTTACAAGACATGATAAGAAAAGCTTGTTGCTTGTATATTGTTCTAGAGATCAGATTACTATGTTATGAAGACTTCTTTTGGTTCACTAATTAACAAGTTTGTTAGGTCGAATAAACCGAGAATTAGGATGAAACAGTGCTGTCAAATCCACAGCAAATATCCATTAATTATAGAGCCAATTTGTTATAAATTCATCAACCAACATGGAGAAACAAATAATGTAAAAGCTTATAAAGGGGTTCTTACATGACATAAGGCACAAGCTTTATAATAAGGTTTCTCTGTTTGGTTCTATATACATATATTATAGGGCCATTTGGCTGTATCTGTTTGTTTTTTTATCGTTTCCCTTTTAGGGTTTGACTTCAAAAATGGTTATGCTCTCACGTTAACCAAAGATATATGGATCCAGGAAACTATTTAATACTAAATTAAGTATTTAGTATTTAGATCTTGAGAAATGAAATGAGATTTTAAAACTATACCATAATGTACTTGGAGCTTTTGAAAAGGAATAATACTGATTATGATATTGAAATTTTATGTAAATAGTAAATTATATTTCTTTGTTTGCTAGAGCCAAGATGGTTGTATCATGGGGTTTAGAGTATGATTATATGTAGTAAATATGATTAGGGTAATATATAAATTTTATAATATTAATTGTATTGGGATTGATGAAT